CGAACAATCGTTTGAGAGCGTTGTTGAGAAATCGAGCATGTGGTTGACCCTTTAGATTTCGAGCAATGATTAACAAATCAAAAAGACGAGCGTGCTTCATACTTCCAGAGAAATTAATTGAAAGGGAAACAACAGGACGAAACAGTAGGCAGCTCTTATTTCCTCGGAGTTTTTGGAGCCATTCGCAAGATGCAGCGGAAGTTTTTGATCCGAGCGACTGAAGCTGGCATCTCGGAGTGACCACATTATTTCAAGAGAGCCACCTAAACCTCTACATTTCTCTAAAGAAGATTCAGTTGGACTCCACAAATCGGAAATTGGCGTTATGAAATCCTTCGAGGGCAGCAGAACCAGGGTCGGAAGAAATATCGTGATACTGATGCTAAAACCCAAATTATTTCCACTAATCAAAACAAAGACCACGTTGTCGATTATTTATATGAACTTGCTCCTTTAATTTTTTCGTAATTGTTCAGAAATCGACATACTTTTATTCAAATTTCTGGACTTTGTTACATTTTAATTGATTTTTTGAAAAATCATCCTTTTTTAACTTATAGCCCATGTTTTGAGAGGCCAAAACTGCAAAATCTTTGATCTTTTACTCAACTTGCCCCCCATACTGGAGTACCCAATATGAAAGTTTTGGGGTGGGGCAGTACGTGCAATTTTTTCTGCTTCTTATTTTCGACTCAAAGTTATTGACTACTTCGAGCTTTGAAATCTTGACTGTTTGACTGAGATTTATGCGCACTGACATCTATGCCAAGTGAGCTTACAAAATCAGCAATCAATCTTTTGATATAGTTAAGTCGACACGAAAGTTGCGATGAAGTTTTGCGGCTTTTAAGTTGTTCATCCATGTTTTAAACTCATTTTGATTCCGCACATATTTTGATTAATCCGCATTTTGTTTCAAATAAATTGTTCAGAAAAATTACCTTTCATGTTAATACCGACATTAGGTTCTACCACGATGTCAGAAAAACTGCGGAAAGTTTCAATTATTTATCATCTGGGACAAGATGACGTAGGTTAGGTTGTCTTGTGGGGCAAGTTTGTATAGGACATGATGGGCGGGGGCAAATTGACCTAAGGCGAAATGACTTGTAGCCGTTTTTTTCAGAATAATGTCTAATTTTCAGCTTACTGTTTTGACGTTTATCTGATTGATTTTGATGCATAGAAGTAAAAAATATTTCACCTTAGAAAACTTCTTTCACCCTTCGTTAATTTATTGAAGATTGAAGGATTACCTTCGGGCTATTTTAGAATAAATGTTATGAGCTATCTTTATAAAAAAAAACGAAAAACAATTTATAAAAAATTGGGTGAGAAAGAAATGGAGAGGCAATAATGAACCGATGCAGAAAAGATAAATGGCAAAAGAGATTAATCAAAAAAGCATTCAAAATCATAACACTTCCTATCAATCTAGAAACGCCAACGCCTACAGAGTCGTTACGAATACACTGAGATTTGAGCTAAAACTAACGAGTCAAATGAGAGATAATAAATAGAAGAATTCAAATGAAAAACAACTGCTAATGTATAGCAAGATATTAATCAGAGAAATGTAAAGTAGATCACAGAGAGACCTAGAAAGACTTACACAAAGAGAGACAAAAAACAATCCAAGAATCAGAAGAAAACCAGATGAAATTAAATTGGAATGGAGGAAAAAACTTCTGGTGAGAAAAAGGAATCGAGAGCAAAAGAAAAAGATAATGAAGGGACAGTATGGTGAAAGAAAAAATTAAAAACCAAATTTTTTTTTAGATTTGACAAAAAAAAACAATAACAGCGGTTGACAGTGATAACTTAGAAGAATTTATGAAAAAAAAAGACAAAGCAAGAAGGATAGTCAAATAATGAAGCAGCAGATATGAATATTCGTAAGAATAAACACAGAAAGTATTGAATAAGTCATTAATCAGGCTTAATATCTTCGATTACTTTAATTTGTCGGTCAGTGGTAGTTCAAGCCCATTTCATCCTTTTTCCTGCTCTGTCTCATGTATTTGTTCCGTGCTAAGTTAAATTGCCTCTTCCGTGGTCAACTACTGCTCAGATTCAAACTCAACCGACCAAATATAAATGTGTGACCACTCCGTAAATTGAATTAACCATTGAAATTAGCCAACGTTTTTCTTGTAACACTCTCACTTTTTAAGCTGTTGCAATCAATCCTGCCTTTTTAAAGGATCAATGAGAACTACAGGGTCTTTCAGTTAGAATTGTTTTTTTGAAACGTCTATAACTTTTAAATGGAGCATAGGATTTAACTGATTCTTTTTACATTTATTATATAACAGATTAGGATTTTTTAACACAAACATAAGAGTTATAATAACAGCTGGAAACGACCGCCATTTTCTTGAATACAAAGATGTTACCGGTTCTCAAAATTTGTTGTTGCTTTTACACATTGCGCGGGATTTATTGTTCCACAAGCGTTCTCCACAGTTTGCATAAGATTTGGCACTATCTTGGGGTTGGCATCAAATATCATTTTACCCATATGACCCCATAGCCAGTAATCCAATGGATTCAAGTCCGGGCTTTGGGGTGGCCAAGGAATCGCACTCCTCCGGCTTATAATCCTCGCGGCAAATTTTGAGTGGAGCCATTTGAGGACTCTCTCTGTGCAGTGGCACGTTGCATTACCCTGCATAAACCACAGGCGCCAAAGATTGCGGCGCGTCAGAAGAATTGGCCAGAGTTTAGACTGCAACATGTCAAGATACGTCTGCTGGTTCAAAGTGACCGGATTGTCTCTTGCATCAACGAACCAGAATGGGCCCAATAAAGTACCTTTAAGCACCCCACCCAGCACATAGCCTTTTTCTTGCCTTGATATTTGCACTTGAAATTTTTCTCGGGGATGTACAAGGGCCCAGTGTCTCCGGTTCTGAGAGTTTGGAGGGAGCAGAGTCCAAAACCCACCATTTTTCATCGGAGAAGATGACATTCGAGGCAAAATCGGTTGTCAAATTGAGCATGTTGATAAACCAAAGGCAAAATGCATTTGGTAATTGACTGGGGATATTTTCTGGATTTTAATAATCTTAAATGGCTTTAATTTTAGCTCTTTCGCGATCCTCTTTTTGAGTATCCAAGGTTCATTGCGGCTTTACTGATTGAGTGGGTAGGGTTTCTTTGGAAGTTAGCTTTAACACTGTTCTTAGCATTGGTATCTTGCGTTATTCCAGTTCGTTTGCGAATGGAAGTCGCATGGGGTGCTTGATAATCTTCTTGAAATTTTCCCCATACACGATAACAATGATAACCTTTCCATCTTGTGCTTTCAAGAGGTGTGATATTGAAGTCCTGGATATATTGCCGGCGTACTAAGGTTGGATTGTCAAGTCTTGCAAATAAGCAAACAATGTGTTTCTTTTGCTCAACAGTAAAATGCATGGTGAGCATTCAAACACGGTAGAAAAGGCTAACTGCATATGCTTACTCAGCCTGTGTGAACATGTTTTGTTAGACGTGTGATTTTCCCGCTGTAAATTTTCCCACGTGTTCAAATTTTTTACAACTCTTATGTACGTGCTCAAAATTTTCAATCTGTTATGTAATAAACGTAAAAATAATCAGTTAAATCCAATGTTTCATTTCAAAGTTACAGACGTTTCAAAAAAACCATTCTAACTGAAAGACCCTGCATAAAGATTCAAAAATCAGTTCCGATTCGTAGTGATGGTTCTGTACAGGCTTCTGTTTTAAAACTAAGTTTTTATATGGAAACAAAGCACTTAAGTATGGCTTGAGACTCATTTTAGTTAACAGCTTTTTTTGTAAAGGCTTTCATGTTCAAAATTCATGTTTCTATAATTGCGAATTGTTATAAAGCTATTACATTTGCAAAACAGGCAATCAAGAGAGAAATGGTTTTTGTTAGCATTGCCATTTGTCCTTGGGTTTTAATGGAAAGAGTAATAGTACACAGATCTTTTTTTCAACAGTCGCTAACGATCCTTATTAGCATGCCTCTCAAATCTCTTGGACGATTTTGATCGATTAAAAAAATCTCTACCGGTTTGTTGAGATGCTTGTTTTAATTTGGTTTAAAACTGGTGAAAACAGGGTTTGCTTGTCCTTTGGAGTAGCGCATGCTATCTTTACTAATCTCGTGTTTCAGATTTATGGTAGCATAAGCTTTTGGTAGCCTAGTAAGTAAACGTTTTGCAGGTGGAAAGCAGCCGGTCTGCAATGTTTAGCGGAATTTTTCTTGATTTTGTTACCTTGATTTTGGTGAGAAATAGGAATTTTGCTAAGTATTGGAAGTAATTACTACACCGATGTGTGAGAACCAAGCGGCCTACACTCGTAGTGTAGAAGTTTCGGGGAAGGGTTATTGAATTGCTTGTGCAATAGATTTTCTAGACAAATCAAACTTTATCGTTGATGATTATGAGCAATACAACTTGATGTATGTAATGGTTTTAGCTGTTCCTGGAGTTAACACGGGGGGTTAGCTTAGGTATTTTAAAAAATTAAGTTTTGGTTTTACAGTTTACAAAGGATCTATGAAAAGCTATCCAGCCTGTCTAAGCATAGTTCATTTCTCATATTTCGCCTCATTCTAGAATGAACTATTTTGTTGAGCGAAGCTCTTTTCAGCGACTTAAGGTCGTTTTTTGCATCTAGTACTTTCACGTGGTTTTGTATTAGAAAACAATAATTTTCGAAAAAATTCCGCCAAAGGTTGCTGGTTAAAGAGTCGAAAATTGTCTGGATCAAAAAAACTTTAGCTCAAATACTCCGTCGTCATTTTCTTCAAAAGTTGTCGGAACAATACAAAAATAAACGCACATTTTAAGAATAAAACGGACATTTAATGATTAGACTTCAACATAAAGTACCCCCCCCCCCCCTCCCGACCGGCACTAAATATTCCGCATCTTTGTGAGCTGTGAATTGTTGCGAGTTGTAGTTCACGCTTCAACAAATTCTTAATGAGCGTATCCAGCAAGTCAGTTGCGTGTTTTTAGGTTGCTAACCACTTGCTCTTCAATGGAAAGTGACAACTCAACAAAGCTCGGAACCTTCTACGAAATCCAACTGGGAAGCGACAACGCAGTATCCCAGGTCAAGTTTCACCACGTGTTTCTCAACCAGAAACGATTGGTTGAAACTCCAGTGAATGAGACAAACTACCATATTTTCTACGCAATTTTAGCCGGTTTAACCGATGATCAACTCATTGCACTGAAAATACCGACACGCGATTCCTGTTTCTTTCGATACCTTTCAAGCGACCTGATTGGCTCACCGAAGCACACGTTTGAACAGTATCAGAAAAGGTACCAAATATGGGCAAAAGCCTTGGAGTGCATGAGCATAAACGAATTAGACATTCTAAAAGTCCTAGCTGCTATCATGCTTCTGGGAAATATTCCAGACAGTCAAAAAATTTCCTCACTTAGGTCGAATAATGGAATTGATATATCTTTCGATCAATACGTTGAGGCTGTCTCGCAGCTTTTAGGAGTTCAAAAATTTTTCCTGTTGTCGAGTTTAACCAATAATACTTATTCGGATCCAAATCGGGGTTCTCAGTTCGGCAGATTCGGGGAACGTAGCTTTGATCCTGAAAGTCTGAAACAGACTTGTGACAGTTTGGCCCAGGCACTGTATACCAGAGTAGTGCTTTCATTGATCAAACGAGGAAACAGTCTCAATAAATATGCAGATGAAAAGCAAAAACTTTCACTTAGTGAAAGCATTTCAAAGGTAGTTCCAAAAAATTCATTTATTTTACATTTCATGAAGAAATCACCTTCATTATATCAGCATACGATGCTGCGTATAATTCAGTGAATATCGATCGCATTTTGACATAGTGTCAATTTTTTTCTCGAAAATTTACTCAAAAAAACCAAAGCTAGATGCACTAGTTGATGATCCAGAGTAACTCGTCATTTAAAATGTTTTAGTCGCCGAAATGGGGCCACTCAAACTTCGGCAACTTCGGATTTCCGAAACAACCGGACAGACTTGCTGGGAGTTTCCAGCGAACCCTGTCTTTTCAAAGTACCCAACTCCCGCTGAACCAGGACGGAAACTTTGTGGGAGTCTTGGACTTATTTGGTCCAAAAGCGCCAGCCGAGGGAAGCCAGTACTTGAATCGACTGGAAAATTTATGTGTGAACCTATGCGCGGAAACAATTGAGTACTTCTTTAAAACTCACGCCTTCAAAAACATCATCGAACAGCACAAAGCGGAGCTGAACGAGCCAATCAGAATCGAGTATTTAGACAACGGTCCGGTGGTGGACCTTATCTCAAGTCAAAAGTCGGGGATTTTAGCAGTTTTTGACAGAACTGTGAGTGAAAAAACAAAACCTCTGACAAATATTACTTTTTCTTTTGAAGATAACCCGGGTTATGAAGCAAGCCATGATGGGACTACTTTCACGATAGAGCATTATTCAGAAAGAGTGACTTACAATGTAGACGCAATCCGAGCGGATTTGGAGCCGAAAATTTCACGTGACATGGTGTCTATGTTCAGCTCGTCCAACTGCAGTTTCCAGTTTGCGTCTCACTTGTTTTCGAATGAGCTGAAAATAGTGGCGCACACATCCGAAAACGAAAGTAAGTTTAGAAGCATAGAAAACAAAGACATCAAGTTGAAATTCCCCCTATACGGCTTTGAGGGTGGGGGTGGGGTGTTTACTTGGTTTTAAATTGACATCTTCATTCAAAATCAAATTTTTGTTTTTTACTTATTTAGCCTGAATTTGCAAACGAAAAGAATAAAATAAAAACGTAAATGAAAATGATGTGATCTGATTTGTTAAAATTAAGAAACAGGGCGGATGCCATTTCTCTTTAGGAGTTCGTTACCATAGCCGCCCAAAAGGTGCCCATTTTTGGTACTATCATAGGAACTCAGTTTTTGGCTAATCTTAACATTTTGTAAGTCGCTTATGGCCTCAGTATTTACTAATTTTGAGAGCACTCGCCGAACAGCACGCTCCGAACGCGTTTTTGGTCACAAGTGTTTATAAAAGCCCAAAAGTTGCATTCTGGTTCGATTTTTGCAGAAATTTTGGGCTCTATAGTTTTTTCAGTCTTTTTGGAGAGCTCGGAAAGCTCTTGTTTTGTTGGCGGAATAGTAAAAAGACCGAGAGCGTTTTTTAAAAACAATCAAAATCAAGTTTTTATTTATGCAAGCCTTAACTTGATATTTTTAACTATACTGTTTAAATACTCACCGGTACCATATTAGGAAAAAAATCCGAAGTACTAGATGCAAAATTTATTGTCAATGACCTGAAATTCACTTTGTAAACTTACCTGTTGATTTTGAGTAAGGACGCAGAGGACATAGCTGCCAAGATTTTATAATTTTAGCTGAATGCTAGCTTGAAAACTACTCTAACTTAAGAACGCTTTTTAATTTCTTGTTCATTGCTAAAAATAAGTTACAAAAATTTTTGCTAAGAATAGATTTTTTTAATAAAGTGAATAAAAATCTGTTCGACTAAAAGTCAAACACTAAATTTTCAATTTAGATCAGTGGTTTCGACTGACTCCAGTGTCTGGCTCAGAAGTTATAGAAGGTCAATGTTTGTCTTACTGTCAGGATTTTCACTTCAAACTAGACTCCCTTCTCAAAGTCCTCGTCAGGTCCAAACCCACCTTCGTGCGGTGCATAAAACCCGACATAAACTCCTATTCGTCGTCATTCAACGATCCATTCGTAGCCGAGCAATGTTTCCACATGCGAATTCCTCAACTAGTCAACACAGTCAAAAATCACCTTATTCACAAAATGAGGTACAAAAATTTTGTGAAAAAGTTTGAACAATTTTTGTCCGATGAAAGTTCAAAAAGGTTCACATCGGTTGAAGAAAAAGCCAGTGTTATAATGACTTTGGTTGAGCGATCGCTTCCAAAAGTTTCACAAAACCCAATAAAATGCGCTTCAAAACGAAAGTACGTTTTCTTTTCCGATGGTTTTTTACGTCAAGCCGAGTTTTGCTGCGCCAACCAAATCAAAAGCACTTCAAATACTTTGCTTACAAAGCCAGTTAACATTCAACCGGTTGCTAAAAATACGGCAATAGTTGAGCCTCAATACAGGAATTCGAAAAAAGAGACCTTTATTTCCGTTACTGCAAAGCCAACTGTAATCCCAAGACACACGAGAATTTCGACAACTTCGAGCTGGGAAGAAAAACCCTCTTTGCCGTATCAGAAAACTCAAAAGGATCAAAACGAAGCTCGCATCTCATTCAAAAGTAAAAGTAGGTTTGAGCAAGTTAGCAAAGTGAGTAATATTTTGGGAGCCTACTATAGACCTCAGTTGCCGAAAAATCGAAGTTACGCAATAGTTCTCAACGGAAGTAGAAAAGTGAACTACCCTCACTTGCGAATCATGACCGAAAACTTCCCTTCGTCTGCTAATTTTTCAATCAATGAGAACCGACTAGGCGGCTCCGCGCCAATCACAAACCCAGGTGAATACTTTTTGTTCGCACGCGGAAATTTGCTGTTTAAGGGGGAAAACGTGGAGTCGGTTGGGCCAGGCGATGGACCTTCAAGGCAGGGTCGAATTACTGTGATGAAAGATGGATCGGTACACCATATTCCTCTTACGGCTTCCGAACCCATTTAAAGTCTAATCAGCTTTCAATTTGTATTCTCGACAAAACAGCTTTTTTATATTGTACAATTAAGTGCAATTTATTTTTATATGGCCTCAAATTATGTATATTTGCTTCTGTAAATGTTTAATACAATTTGCTTCTGTAAATGTTTAGCTGGCTGGCGCTTACAAAGGCGAATAAGTGGGGATCGGGGTGGGCGTTGCCGCGCATAGAAACCCAATATATTAAGAAAATGCATATAGCTCAGGCGTTCTCTTGTGCTGTGTATTGACATATATTGTAGGTCGTTTGCAGTGTATTAAGATAGACTATAAGAGTGACAGAGTTTGTGAGTAAAAAAAACAACGGGGTAAAATCCCGTTCTGTTAATATCAATTCAGATATATAAATATACATAAACAGGGATTATATCATCCTAAAATAAAATCCACAATTTTTATCATTATAGATACTATTAATTCAGTTGAGTAACCCAACCCGGGGACGAGGTTATGGCTTTATGATCAGACAGTCGCGACCAAATTTTAGTATTTTTAGACTGTTGCGACCAATCATGGGTATTCGCAGACCAGCGCCACCGAAATTCGATATTTTCAGACTTTGCAGACTATGCGAGCGGCGAGATGGAAGAAAAGTTAACAGCGACATGCACTAATTTTTCGACCATGTCGCGCCTACTTTTTAGATCATGTCGAAACTAAATTTTCGACCACGGGGCTGTGATTTCCAGATTTTATCCGGAACTATAAAACCTTGTCCAGACACCGGTTGTTGATCGCGGAATTGAAGAATTGAATTAACATCGGCGCGAAAGTAAATGTCAAAAAATTAGTTGTGGGCGACCCGGTATTAATTATAATGATAGCTGACTGTGCGTACAACAGTAACAAATCCCGTTTCCCGTTTCTGCAATTAAGTGCAAGATGTTAGTAGCAACAACTGTTGGCAGTAAAAGTAACATGGAGTGTTTTGTCTACAGTTGCCCAGCTAAATTAATTTAAAAAGATTTGCCATTCAAATGTTTGGCCTTTTTTTCATGCATAGCGAAAGAATTGATATTCAGCTTCACAAGATTCTAAAAGTGGCAACCATTACTGGAAGCAGTAAACTAGCCATAATCTTGACCGAAAAAACTTCATGATGATATATGACTCGATTAAATGCAGATGTTTTTTTCTACCTGATTTTTGGTAGGAGAAAACCACCCTGAGCAGAATTTTTTTGCCACGGGTAAGAATGGCAGGGTAACATTTAAGTTCGAAGTGTCCACTTTGAAAAAATAAGAATCTAAACTGTGAAACATGGCGTTTATCAAGTATTCTTGAAAATATCTGATACCAAATTACTCACCCAAACCGCTCTGGGGGTGCAAATCAGTACTGCTTTAGTCATAATTTTGTGGGCCTTCATTTATGTATTGTACTCTGTACAGTGGGACTCTAACTCCAATCAGAAATGAAAATCACATTACTGTACTGATTTAATAATGAATCATGATGAACGTAAACTTTTTTGCTGAATAAATCGAGCCGAAATTCCTTTCCAAGCCTCCCCATTTAATTTTTGCTATGCAAACTTTTGATTCCAAATTTATGAGTATAAAATAGTGCAAATTTCTCAGAGAAATTTACAATCCAACTCCATTGTAAATTTGAAAAAAAAACAGTTTTTTTGAATTAATTTCTATGAGTTTACGCTAAATAGTTAATGATCAAACCCCTACTCATTAGTGAGACAATCTGGCTTTTTTAAATTACATTTGAACCTATAAGTATAGCTGGCCCAGAGATGTCTTCGTTTAATCCATGTGTCACCTCTGCATTTCCAAATACTGGTGTTTTAAAGATGAAGCAGCACTTATATACTCTGCGACGTCAATTTGAATGATATGTGATGATGTAGTTCAACCCGCATTGGAGTTCCATCAATAAAAATCGATTATAATTGAGTTTCCTTGTCAGTGTCCACAAAAGTGAAAACATTTTTGGCCAACCGACTCTAAAATTTTTCTAAGAGCGCCTTTCGTGCCAAAATATGCTAGCTTTGAGGGTGAGCTCACGCCAAAAAAACGCGAGTTTTTTTGTCAACATTTTCCAAAAAGTGCTCAAAAACGTTTTTTACCTGTTTTCTCAAAAATTTGCTTGCGGCGCAACAATTTGGCCAAAACAGGGTCTTTTTAATGCTTTAAGAGAGCTAGGAAACCCAAATTTGTCGACCTAAAAAAATGTGTAACCTTTGCATTTAATCCATGTCACCTCTGCATTTCCAAATACTGGTGTTTTAGAGATGAAGCAGCACTTATAAACTCTGCGACGTCAATTTGAATGATATGTGATGATGCGCTACAACCCGCCTTGGTGTTCCATGAATAAAAATCTATTATACTTGAGTTTCCTTGTCAGTGTCAACAAAAGTGAAAATAAATCGATTATAATCAATTAAAAATGGATTAAAATATTACTGTTTTTCGAGGCAACAAAGTCCTTTTTTTATCCATTATAATCGATTTATTTTCACTTTTGTGGACACTGACAATGAAACTAAGTTTTAATCGATTTTTTTCCCACTTTACTGAGATGCGAATTTCAACGCACATAAAGTCTTTTGTACGTTTTAAATTAAAGTTGGTTACGTTAGTTACTTGTTGTTCAATTGAATTTTTTTCTACCTTACTTCGATATTTTTGTTACTTTTCTATATTACCCAACATTACAGCCCCCCCCCTAGCGTTTGCCCATTTACAACAACCCCCCCCCATTGTAACATGTTCAGATGGTTCAGGCGGGTGTTGTTCAGGTGGTGGGGGGGGTGTTCAGGTGGGGGGTTCAGTGGAGGGCGGGGAACAAAGGGGCAAACGTTTGGGGGAATGAAGGGGAGCAAAGGGCCAAACGTTGGGGGGGGGGGCAGCTCAACGGAATCTTTTTATAATTTGAGTTTAGGTTTTGAAATGGATTAGGCCGTGAATTAACATCGGCGCGAAAGTAAATGTCAAAAATGAGTTGTGGGCGACCCGGTATTAATTATAATGATAGCTGACTGTGCGTACAACAGTAACAAATCCCGTTTCCCGTTTCTGCAATTAAGTGCAAGATGTTAGTAGCAACAACTGTTGGCAGTAAAAGTAACATGGAGTGTTTTGTCTACAGTTGCCCAGCTAAATTAATTTAAAAAGATTTGCCATTCAAATGTTTGGCTTTTTTTTTCATGCATAGCGAAAGAATTGATATTCAGCTTCACAAGATTCTAAAAGTGGCAACCATTACTGGAAGCAGTAAACTAGCCATAATCTTGACCGAAAAAACTTCATGATGATATATGACTCGATTAAATGCAGATGTTTTTTTCTACCTGATTTTTCTACCTGATTTGGTAGAAAACCACCCTGAGCAGAATTTTTTTTGCCACAGGTAAGAATGGCAGGGTAACATTTAAGTTCGAAGTGTCCACTTTGAAAAAATAAGAATCTAAACTGTGAAACATGGCGTTTATCAAGTATTCTTGAATTTAAAAAGGTTTTAAAAATATCTGATACCAAATTACTCACCCAAACCGCTCTGGGGGTGCAAATCAGTACTGCTTTAGTCATAATTTTGTGGGCCTTCATTTATGTATTGGACTCTGTACAGTGGGACTCTAACTCCAATCAGAAATGAAAATCACATTACTGTACTGATTTAATAATGAATCATGATGAACGTAAACTTTTTTGCTGAATAAATCGAGCCGAAATTCCTTTCCAAGCCTCCCCATTTAATTTTTGCTATGCAAACTTTTGATTCCAAATTTATGAGTATAAAATAGTGCAAATTTCTCAGAGAAATTTACAATCCAACTCCATTGTAAATTTGAAAAAAATCAGTTTTTTTGAATTAATTTCTATGAGCTTACGCTAAATAGTTAATGATCAAACCCCTACTCATTAGTTAGACAATCTGGCTTTTTTAAATTACATTTGAACCTATAAGTATAGCTGGCCCAGAGATGTCTTCGTTTAATCCATGTGTCACCTCTGCATTTCCAAATACTGGTGTTTTAAAGATGAAGCAGCACTTATATACTCTGCGACGTCAATTTGAATGATATGTGATGATGTAGTTCAACCCGCATTGGAGTTCCATCAATAAAAATCGATTATAATTGAGTTTCCTTGTCAGTGTCCACAAAAGTGAAAACATTTTTGGCCAACCGACCCTAAAATTTTTCTAAGGTCACCTTTCGTGCCAAAATATGCTACCTTTGAGGGTGAGCGCACGCCAAAAAAACGCGAGTTTTTTTGTCAAAATTTTCCAAAAAGTGCTCAAAAACGTTTTTTACCTGTTTTCTCAAAAATTTGCTTGCGGCGCAACAATTTGGCCAAAACAAGGTCTTTTTAATGCTTTAAGAGAGCTAGGAAAACCAAATTTGTCGACCTAAAAAAATGTGTCACCTTTGCATTTAATCCATGTCACCTCTGCATTTCCAAATACTGGTGTTTTAAAGATGAAGCAGCACTTATAAACTCTGCGACGTCAATTTGAATGATATGTGATGATGCACTACAACCCGCCCTGGTGTTCCATGAATGAAAATCTATTATAATTGAGTTTCCTTGTCAGTGTCCACAAAAGTGAAAATAAATCGATTATAATCAATTAAAAATGGATTATAAAATTACTGTTTTTCGAGGCAACAAAATCCTTTTTTTTATCCATTATAATCGATTTATTTTCACTTTTGTGGACACTGACAATGAAACTAAGTTTTAATCGATTTTTTTCCTACTTTACTGAGATGCGAATTTCAACGCACATAAAGTCTTATCTACGTTTTAAATTAAAGTTGGTTACGTTAGTTACTTGTTGTTCAATTGAATTTTTTTCTACCTTACTTCGATATTTTTGTTACTTTTCTATATTACCCAACATTACACCCCCCCCCCCTAGCGTTTGCCCATTTACAACAACCCCCCCCCCATTGTAACATGTTCAGATGGTTCAGGCGGGTTGTGTTCAGGTGGGGGGGGGGGTTTTCAGGTGGTGGGGGGGTGTTCAGGTGGGGGGTTCAGTGGAGGGCGGGGAGCAAAGGGGCAAACGTTTGGGAGAATGAA